TTCCCTTTCTCTTATTCTTTTCCTCTCCTACTTTGCTGTAGGATAAGATAGATTTCTAAAACCAACTGAATGTGTAAGTAACTCACTCTTTGAGCCAATTCTGATGAGAGTAAGATTCATGTGCTATACCTTACCCCCTCCCTTTAGTCTTCCTCTCCACTGTAAAAGCTCTTTCATGCCTTTTTTATGTGAGATAATTTATCCTATTCGACCTCTCTCTTTCTTCTTCTCCCAGTGCATTCCTCTTTCTCACCCCTTAATTTTGTTTTAGATAATTAGCCCATCATCAACTCACTATTGTGCCTTCTGTCTATGTATACTCCTTCTAACCACCCTAATAATGAGAAAGTTTTTAACAGTTACAAGTATCATCTTCCCATGCAGGAATATAAACAGTGTAACTTCATTAAATCTCTTATGGTTTCTCTTTCCTTTTTCACCTTTTTTTAAAAAATTAATTTATTTTGATTTATCAACCATCACTTTCATAAGCTTTTGAGTTCCAGATTTTTCTCCCTACCTCCCTCCACAAGATGGTGTGCAATCTGATATAGGCTATACATATACATTCTTATTAACCACATTTTCACGTTAGTGATGTTGTAAGTAAGAATTAGAATCAATAGGAGGAACCACCAGAAAGAGGAAACAAAACACAACAGAAGGAAAAAAAATAGCAAATAATATGTTTCGATCTGCATTCAAACTCCGTAGTTCTTTCTTTGGATGTAGATAGCATTTTCCATCATGAGGCCTTTAGAGATGTCTTAGATCCTTGTATTGCTGCGAAGGGTTAAGTCTGTCAATATTAGTCATCGCACAACATGGCTGTTACCATGTACAACTTTCTTCTGGTTCTGCTTACTTCACTCAGCATCAGACCATATAAGTCTTTCCAGGTTTTTCTGAAGTCTGCCTGCTCATCATTTCTTATAGCACAATAGTATTCCATTACATTCATATACCACAACTTGTTCAGCCATTCCCCAGTTGATGGGCATCCTCTCAAATTTCCAATTCTTTGCCACCACAAAAAGAACTGCTATAAATATTTTTGTACATGTGGGTCTTTTTCCCATTTGTATGATCTCTTTGGGATATAGCCCTAGATGTGCTATTGCTGGATCAAAGGGTATGCTTTGAGCATAGTTCCAAATTGCTCTCCAAAGTGGTCGGATCAATTCACAACTCTACCAACAATGCATTAGTGTTCCAATTTTCCCACATCTTCTCCAACATTTATCATTTTCCTGTTTTGTCATGTTGGCCTATCTGATAGGTGTGATGTGGTACCTCCGAGTTGTTTTAGTTTGTATTTCTCTAATCATTAGTGATTTAGAACATTTTTTTAAATATGACTATAGATCCTTTGACCATTTATCAATTGGGGAATGACTTGCATTCTTATAAATTCAACTCAGTTCTCTATGTATTTTAGAAATGAGGTCCTTATCAGAGACACTGGTTGTAAAAGTTCTTTCCCAATTGGCTACTTTCCTTCTGATCTTGGTTGCATTGGCTTTGTTTGTGCAAAAACTTTTCAATTTAATGTAATCAAAATTATCCATTTTGCATTTTATAATGTTCTTTATCTCCTGTTTGGTCATGAATTCTTTTGTTCTCCATAAATCTGATAGGTAAACTATTCCTTGCTCTCCCAGTTTGCTTACAGTATCAGCCTTTATATCTAAATCATGGACCCATTTTGACTTTATTTTGGTATATGGTGTGAGATTTTGGTCTGTGCCTAGTTTCTGTCACACTCTTTTCTAATTTTTCCAGCAGTTTTTGTCAAAGTTTTTTTCACCTTTTTATGCTTCTCTTGAGTCCTGTATTTGAAAGTGAGATTTTCTCTTCGACTCTGATCTTTTCATCAGGAATGCTTGAAAGTCCTCTGTTTTATCGAATATCCATTTTTCCCCCTGAAGGATTATACTCAGTTTTTCTGGGTAGGTGATTCTTGGTTTTAATCCTAGCTCCTTTAGCCTCTGGGATATCATACTCCAAGTTGTTTGATCCTTTAATGTAGAAGCTGCTACATCTTGTGTTATCCTGACCGAGACTCCACAATATTTGAATTGTTTCTTTTTGGCTGCTTGTAATATTTTCCCTTTGGCTTAGGAGTTCTAGAATTTGTAATATTTCTGGGAGTTTTCAGTGTAGGATCTCTTTCAGGAAGTGATTAGTGGATTCTTTCAATGTCTGTTTTACCCTCTGATTCTAGAATATCAAGGCAGTTTTCCTTGATAATTTCTTGAAATATGATGTCTAGGCTCTTTTTTTGATCATAGCTTTCAGGTTGTCCAATAATTCTTAAATTATCTCTCCTTGATCTATTTTTCAGGTCAGTTGTTTTTTGAAAGAGACAGTTCACATTTTCTTCTATTTTTTTCATTTTTTGGATTTTTTTTTCTTTTTGCTTCTTGATATCTCATGGAGTCATTAGCTTCCACTTGCCCACTTCTAATTTTTAAGGAATTATTTTCTTCAGTAAGCTTTTGTACCTCCTTTTCCATTTTGCCAATTCTACTTTTTAAGGAATTCTTTTGTTCAGTGAATTTTTGTACATCCATTTGGCTGATTCTGCTTTTTAAGGCATTCTTCTCTTCATTGGATTTTTTTGTTCCTCTCTTACTAGTTGGCCTGTTTTGTTTTTTAAGGTCTTATTTTCTTCAGTATTTTTTGTGCCTCCTTTGTCAAACTTTTGACTCTTTTTTCAATGATTTTCTTGGATTACCATCATTTCTTATACCAGTTTTTCCTCAACCTTTCTTATTTGATTTTTAAATCCTTTTTGAGCTCTTCTAAGAATTCTTTTTGGGCCTAAGACCAATTCACATTTTTCTTTGAGGCTTCCATTGCCAGCCACAGCTGATTTTGAGCTTTTGTACTCTTTGTAGCTTTTTATAAGATGTTTTGTTCTTGCATTCATCTTCTATTACCACCCTTTGCTTCTAGCTTTTGTACATACTTTTTTTTTAAAAAATATGAAGCACTGCCCTGGTCTCTTTTCACAAAACTCCCCTTTTTTTCCTCCTCAAAGTTGTTTTCCTTTGTGTATTCCAAATTTCATTCTTGAATTTTTTTTTAATCTCTTCACAAATGGAGAACCTTAGTCCACATAATATTACATATCTTTCTCTGAACTTTTTGAACTATGCTTTCAGAAAATCTTGGGTGCATGTAAGACTGTATATCTAGCTTTAGTCTTCTCTATCACAAACTTTAGGAAAGTGCTTACTTTCCTTTGGCATTTCTATCACTTCCACCTCCAGCATCTGCTTACTCCTTGGCAAGAATGAGATCCCAAAGAGAAATCCCCCTTAATGTTTCTTCTTCCTTTTGAAGCATGACATTAAATAAAAACAAGTTGAGAAATTATTAGTTTTTCTGCTTTTGGGAGGGGGCAGAGAGAGAGAGAGCGAGAGACTGATTGTGCTCTAGTTAATGTCTTCTATCATTATTATATTGTTCCTCTTTTCCAAGCTTGTGATTTGTTTCCTGAACTCCCCTATTTGCTCTTTTTGTCTAGGTGGTTTGTTATTGTTTGGTGAAAAACTTCTATTTCTCCCTCCAGTGATAAACAAGCTGGGTGCAACCTTGATACCCACTTATTGTCAGAACATATAGAGGATTTATGGAAGGACAATTCTAGTGCCCAGGATGGGAAGGCATAGATAGATTGTAGTTCTTACCATTGGACAGAATACCCCACATAGATGCAATCACAGATTCATTTAATTATATGAATAAATGGGCAAAGTGCTGCTAAATTTGAAAAGAAATAACTTTAAAACCAGGCTCAGTCAAATACTTTAACTGTTAAGATTGATGATTTCATTGTTTTGGATATTGGATATTGTTTCCTCTGATTTAGATTACAATGCCTCTTAGATTTTTTTTTTAACTTTAAAAATAAATAAATATTTCATATTTATATAGGACTTTAATGTTTGTAAAATCCTTTACATGTATCATCTGGTTTGATCTGCACAGCACCTGCAAACATTTACAAAATAATTTTCGAAATATTTTAAAATTTAGAATTTAAATTTAACTTAAATTTAAATTTAATTTAAAATTAGCCTGATTGGGCTTTTTTAGGCTACATCTTTTGTTAATTGTAAAATGGATAACAAACATATTGAAATAAGTCCTTAAGTGTTCTAATTTTAACATTGCTACTACAATAAATTTCCCTGTTGCATTTGTATTAACATTCAAGTGACACCTGTCTTCCATCAAAACGTACCCTAATAAAAGCGGTCACGTGCCTTATGAAGTTTTGTTAATGTTAACTTTCCTAGGTATATTTGCATTTTTATTCTTCTCTAATTTGAGGGGTAAAGGGCTTTTGGAGAATTTGTGTTTTCTAATGAGTCTCCAAAAAATTTTAAAGTTAACTGAAATAAGTATAATTACTTCTATATGCTTTATAGGGTAATGAAAATATAAACAATTGAAAGTATTTTATAATTCTTTAGTATTTATATTTCTAAAACTATTTCTCTGTTGAAAGTCATATAGAATTGCAACTTCTGTTGGCACTTGTTGCAGTAGCTTTATGTTAATTTTAAATTAATATTATGTTAATCTTGTGGAAATGGAGGTCTACTAAGACAGAATATTGTATACTTTGACAGAGTCTTTGTATTGGATACTATGCTTGTTTTCTTTGTTATAAGGGAATTTAAATTCAAGAGTGGGTTTGGGAAATTACCGTGATGTTAGGACAGGTCATCAATAAAACATTTAAAAACTTTAGAGTCTCAGGAACTCATTGAAAATGCTGATTATGTGGGAAGAGCTTTTCTTGAGACATTTGTAGGGTATTGCTTGTTTTATCTGTTTGACCCCTGGGGACTTAAAAATTCTAGTTAAATGGGTTTCTGAAACAGTATATTCTCTCAGATTTCATGGAATTATTTTGCCTTGTTTATACTTGGTTGGTTCAGCAGGCACAACACTGAGGTGTTTTTCATTTATATTTGTTTTTGCAGAGATCTTAGCAACATCAATTGTGAGGAGCTTGGTCCACTGCCTCCTGGATGGGAAATCAGAAATACAGCAACAGGCAGAGTTTATTTTGTTGACCATAACAACAGAACAACACAATTTACAGATCCTCGGCTATCAGCTAATTTGCATTTAGTTTTAAAGTAAGTTTCAAAAGCAGTTAGTATGGGTGAAATTCTACTTCTGAAAAGGATTGAGTAGGTGATTTTGTGATTGTGTGGCTTAACTGATTTCTGTCATCTTTGAAAGTTTAATAAAAGTACAATTGTATATGTATATGGTAGTTTTAAATTCAGTATTTAAATTTAATCTTTCCCATCCATCAACAATGAATTATTCACTTTAATGTTATAAAACAGTGCCACCCTGTCTGCCATCCTTAGTGAGAAATGGATATGTAACTCAAGTAAGTATGGTATAGCTTATATTGGTGTTTCTGTTGATATAATTTGTGGGTTTCCTTTGTTGTCTCCTTTTACTTAATATGGCTCTTATTTATTTTAGCTATTCATAGAATCATAGAATCGTTTAAAGAGATTAAATTGGCCAACTAGGACAGGCTTCTACTTTTTTTTTCGTTTTTTTATTTAGAAGCTCTACTTGAGGCAGAAACAGGAAAGTATAAAACTCCCATTAATCAGCCTTTGGTCTTTGTTAGCCATTCTGCTTAAATGTTGAAGAATTGTTATAATGAATAGTCTTGATCCCAGAGACAAAAAGTCAGGGTTCTAGCTCTAGCTATCATAAATTGGTCAAGTGTTTGGGCCTCTCTTTGCTTTTTTTTTTCGTCTGTTAAGTTGCTGTACAATGATCTTGTGAAGGGGTAAAGATCAAAGAATTAATGTGTATGAAAAAATTTAAGGTAAATTATTATATAAATGCAAGGGGTGCACCTTTCAATACATTTTAATAGGTACTGATTAAGTGTCTGCTGAGCTCTAAGCACTGGGCTGACTGCTTGGGATATAAATATTAAAATGAAATCATCCCTATCCTCAGGGAGCTTATATTCTCTCAATATAAAATATGCACAAATATAAACACAAATAAATATAAAGTCAGTTTTGGGTGGAAGTCGCTAGTAGATTGGAAGAGCAGAAAAGACCTCATGTAGAAGGTGGTATTTGAGCTAATCCTTGAAAGAAACTGTATTTTCAGAGGTAGAGCGGAAGAAAGGAGTACATTCCAGTCATGGGGGATAGCTTATGCAAAGATTCAAAAAAAGATAGTGGAATGTCATGTAGGGAAACAATGTGTATGCCAGTTTCGCTAGACCCAGTGGGGTGTAATGTAAACTTTTAAAAGGTAGCCTAGGTCCAGTTTTTGTGAAGGGTTTTAAATGGAAAAGAAAGGAGTTTATATTTGATCTGCCAATGGAGTTTCTTGAATAGGGAAACAAGTGGAATCAATAAGACTTTGACTGCTTATTGGATATTTGATGTTCACTCCTTCATTCCTCTCTGGTCTTTGCTTCTGACTTTCTGGACTTTTTTCTCCACCATGCAGAAAGGAGGTGTAAGGTACTTCCCATCTCCATCAGCTTTCATTTATGTGTTGTCTTCTCCAGTATAAGCTCATTGAGGGCAGTTACTGTCTTTCTTTTTGCATGAATTTGTATTTTCAGCACTTAGCACAGTACAGTATGGCACATAGTAAGCACTTAATAAATGCTTAGTGACTTGGCTTCACATGTAGGGTGGTTGAGGATGCTTTTGAGGTTGCAAACCTCGGTTACTGGAGGGATGATGTTGCATTCTTTAGAAATGGAAAAGTCTGGAAGAGGGGTAGGTCAGTTTGAGTTGATTATGTGTCATCTAGTTTGAAATTTCCTGAAGGTAGTGGAAGACTGAGGCTAGCACTGGATATGTAGATCCAGGAGTCATCTGCATAGAGATGATCATTAAATTCATGTTAGCTGATGAGGTCATTAAAAGAGTATGGATGGGGGGCAGCTAGGTGGCGCAGTGGATAGAGCACCGTCCCTGGATTCAGGAGGACCTCAGTTCAAATCCGGCCTCAGACACATAATACTTCTAGCTGTGTGACCGTGGGCAAGTCACTTAACCCCATTGCCTAGCCAAAGGGGAAAAAAAAAAGAGAGAGAGAGAGAGTATGGAGAGAAAAAGAAGAGAGACTAGGATAGAGTTTTGGTGTACCCCCAAAGTTAGAAGATGATATGGATAATGAGCCAGCAAAGATGACTAGAGTGGTCAGACAGGTTGGAAAGAGAAGCAAGAGAACGTATTATCACAAAAACTCAGAGAGGCGAGTATTCAGAAAGAAAGTGTGGTTAACAGATGATGCTAAGAAGTCAGGAAGGATAGAGATTTTTAAAAGGCCCTTAGTTTTAATATTTAAGAAATCATTGATAATTTTGGAGAGGGTGGTTTCAGTTGAATGATAAGGTTGGAAACTAGATTACACAGGTCTTAGAGTGAGGAAGTGGACAGAAGGTAGAGAAGATGTTATATACAAGTTTGGCTGTGAAAGGAGGGAGGAAAAGATATGGCTTTAGGGCAGGGGTTCTTAACCTGGAGTCTAAGAACTTGTTAAAATTATCATTTTGATGTCTATTTCAATGTAATTACTTTTCTTTGTAATCGTATACATTTAGTTTTATGCATTTAAGGACATTATGCTGAGACAGGGTTCACAATCACCAGATTACCAAATGGGTCCATGACTTAAGAACGATTAAAATTTTAAGGGATAGTAGTATTGACTGAAAGTTTTTTGTTTTATTTTATTTTATTTTTAAAGTATTTGGAGAAACTTGGGTGTGTTTGCAGGCCACAGGAAAAGAGCTTGTAGATGGGGAGAATGAAGAAGTGAAGGAGGGATGATTGTATGGACAATCTTCTGGAGAGCATTGGAGGGGGTGTGATCAAGAATACTTCTAAGGGGCAGCTAGGTGGTGTGGTGGATAGAGTACAAGCCCTGACGTCAGGAGGACCTGAGTTCAAATCTGGCCTCAGACCAAACAATTGACACTCGCTGTGGGACCCTGGGCAAGTCACTTAACCCCAATTGCCTTAAAAAAATATACTTCTACAAGAGTTGTCCTTTGCACTTCTTTATTAGAAATATATTAAGTTTGACACAGTAGTATCAACATTGATCATTTTTGTTCCCTTCTTCCCTTCCTTCCTCTGTATATATTTTAAAGGTTTTGTTGAAGCTCTTTTCATTCTTTTTGGCATCATGATCATCATCTTCTATCTCCTGATGCGTCCCCCTCCTACATTAAAGCCCCCCTCCCCTCAAATAAGTATAGTCAAGCCAAACATATTCACACATTGGACCCTGTCTGTAAATGTATGTCTTTTATGCATCTAGTCCAGTGGTTCTCAAAAGTGTAGTCTACAGAGTCCTGAGGGTCTCCAAGACCCTTTCAGAGAGTCTTCAGAGTCAAAGCTATTTCATAATAATACCATCCACATGAATTCATTCTTACTCTCTCATGAATATACAGTAGAGTTTTCCAGAGGCTACATGACCTATGAATTAAAGATTTAGCCACAAACATGAAGATCAAATTAAATATCTCATCTGCAGATGTTGCTTTTGCCTTACAAATAGGTGAATTTCTGGATCTGCTGAGCTATTAGCTATTTGCTTGTATTCATCTGGTATCAGCACCAACTAATCATCAAAGAAGATCCTTTATGTGAATGCTTAGCAACAACACAAGAGGTGCTGAAATATTCTAAGTATTGGATAATTTTTTTAAATTTCATGGTTTATACTGGAAATGTGATAACATTTGCAATGATGGCACAAGGGCAGGGTGAGTAAAACTTCTGGTGTCTTAGCAGGAATGAAGGCAGTGGTGCCAAACTATACTTTTAGTCCTAGTATTTGTCGCCTCTGTAACACATTCAATTAAAAAAAAATACTACTTAAGAATGTCCTTGATGAAGCAATAAAACTTACTAATTTTATTAAATCTCTACTCTCATGTTCACATCTTTTCAATATTCTGCTGCATACCAAAATATATTATCTCAAGGAAAAGCACATGTACAGTTGTTTGATATGTGAGCTGAAGCAGCTGAATTTTTTTCATGGAATACCGTTTACTAAAAGAATGACTGACAAACTATGATTATTCAGACTTGGGAATTTTGAAGACAATTATCTCAAAAAAAGAACAAAATGGGCCTGTCAGACTCAAGGAAAACAACGGACAGTATCTGTTGCTAGTGATAAAATTTGAGCTTTCAAGAGAAAATTGGAATTTTTGAAAACTGGAATTTTTGAAAATTTGTCTCCACCACTGTGAACTTGACAGTTTCTCAGTACTTAAACACTTCTCTGATGAGATCAGTGTTGATATTAAGGAATGATTTTTTTAAAAAAATATATTGTATAATGAAATATGTCATCATTTGGAAGATCTCCATTAACTCAGTGAACCAATATTTTCCAAATGACCATTGCATGATATTATAATATGATGAATGAGTAAAAAGATCCATTTGAAGTGCAAGATGGATCATTGAATTTTAATCTTAACAGTTTGAAAAATTCATTGGTATGGTTTCAGATTTTTCAACTAACCTTTAAGAAATTACCACTTGTTGAGAGTATAGTATCAAAAAGAATATACAAAATTATTTGAAAAGGCTATTAACATATCTATACTTTCCCCAATTTATATGAGATTGGATGTTCATATATGCAACCCAAAACAACATGTCACAAAAGATTGAATGCAAAAGCATATTTTGAATCCAGCCATTTTCCAGATATTAAAAAATTGCAAAAATGTAACAATGTCACTCTTCTTACCTTTTTTTTTGTTTGGGAAATAGAGCTAGTTTTCTTAAAAAATATGTTATTTATGATAATATGTTATTAGTCTTTTGCTATTTTAAATTGATAAATATTTTAAAACATTAGCAGTTTTCATTTTCCAGTAACGTCAATATTGATAGATATAACCACATAAAAACTCTTTAAGGGTCCTCAGTAATTTCTATGAGAGTAAAAGGGTCTTGAGACCAAAAAATTTGAGAACCACTGCCCTAATCCGTTACCTCTCTGTCAAGGAGTAGGAAGCATAATTCATCCTCACATTTTTAGAGTCATGGTTGATCATTGGATTGATCATAGTTCTAAAGCCTTTCAAGGTTGTTTTCCT